TCTGTCCCACATGAGCACATCCTTACCCCATCTGCCCGCCTGCATGCTGCTCATCACAGGTCCCCTGGAGCTGCCCCAGCCCCTGACAACCAAGGCCAGGCTGGGGGGGGTGACGAAGGCAGGACCCAGGAGTGGGAAATGCCCCTGAGCGGAGATACCACCCAAGCAAGGCTACGGGTGTGGGCGTGAGGGCTGGCCACAGTTATCGGACACAAATCTGCCACACTGGAGGTCAGGACACAGCATCTCATGTGAGACTGGGAGCCACACTCTGACTCCCACTCTGATTTGGGGGCCACAGTCCCACGAACATGCTACTCACTGATCCACAGCTCACTGGGCTCTCGTGAAGGCACCCAGGCGGAGAACCAGGCCCTGGCTTAGGTGGCCAGCTAACCTGGGCCTGCCCTGGGCGCTTACTAAAGGGCTGAGGGAGTGGGGTGTGGCCAAGTGACAGGACGGACACACACACACACACACACACACACACACACACACACGCACGCACACGCACATGCAAACTTCAGGCAGGTCTCTTCCTCCACCCTCCCTCCCAAGTGCTCTGCATCACACCCACCACCAGGCCCCCAGCACTCCCACTCACCCGCTGCGGCTCTGGGCTCTGGGCGGCTGCGGGGAGCTGTCCGTGGTGCTGAGCCTCCAGGCGTGGGACCGGTGGCCATGGCTTCAGAAGATGCCCGCAGCAACTTGTGCTGCTCAGGAATAAACTGTCTGCTTGGAGATCAACCTCAAGGATAAGAGTGGGGGCAGAGCTCCAGCACAAGGAGTCACTCTGTCCATCCCTCCCTGCTGAGGGGGCCCCCCCGCACAGCTCTGGCTCCTCTCAGTGGCCTTCCCCTGACCAGGCTGGGAGAACCTGGGTGCTGAGTCCTCAGACTCCTTTGTGGGGAGGCCTCTCTGCCCATGACCTTCCTGTGTTCTCACAAGCCCATCGTTCTGTTGATTTCTTAAGCAGCTATTTGCACCTATGTGCTTTCCCCCGAGTATTTCCTCTGGTCTGTCTCCATTTCTTGGCAGGGCCTGGCCAGGCTCCTGAGCACTGGCCTCTTACTTTCCAAGGTCATCCAGCTGGGGGAGGAGTCCCACAAGAGAAGGGGGTTCAGTCCCGATGGAGGGACTCTGGGGGTGATGCGGGGAAGGGAGGCAGAGAAACTTCCAGAAGCATGTTAAGGGACCAGGCAGGAAGGTTGAGCTTGCTGCACCTGGAGCCATGAGTGACCTCTGCTTCCGCCACCCTGTCTTTCCCTTCCCTTTAAATTTAGGGAATGGTCACCATGGAAACTGAGGCCTGGGGGACAGGAGCCATTGCTCAACACCAACCAGGTGGGCCTGCTGGGAGGGGTGGTGTGTGCCCTCCACATCCCTGCCACCCGGCCACGGGCGGCCACGTGAAGCCCTGCCCCTCGGCTGCCGAAGGAAGCTGCCCGGTGGCAATGCCAGCCGCCGAGGGGCTCTGGCCATGATGAGGCCGAGCCCACTTTACAGGGTCTGCGCCCCAAACCCCGGAGGCCAGCCTCAGCCAAGGTTTGTTCTTAGCTGCTGGGCGTTTCCTGGGTCGCGGTAACAGGACCTGCTGGGCGGTGACCTAGATCTCTCTTCTCCCAGGTCTGGAGGCCCGAAGCCCGAGCCGGGTGTCACTGGGCTGACCCAGGCGGGCTCCTTCGGGAGCGCCCTCCGGCCTGTCCCTCGGCCCTTTAGCAGGCGCTCAGGCGGGGCTGGGGCTGTGTCTTCTCTGCCTGTGGCTTCTCTACCCTCACCCGGCCCCCCTCTTAGAACACTTGTCACTTCATTTAGGACCCACGATGGCCTCACCTCAAAATCCTTAACTTACACTCAGAGACCTTTTATCCAAATAAGGTCACAGGGGGCTCTGGGGATTGGGACCTATCTTTCGGGGCCATTTTTGAACTGAATACAATTGTTCACATTGAAAAATGGAGAGATTTTAATGCCACCACCCAGCCTCCTCTGCACCTCTCCCTCCTCCCACCAAAATGAACCAGGGTCTGGGTTCTCTCAGATCATCTGAGTCTGGGGTCAGGGCTATGGGTGTGGAGAAGCTGCTGGAGAGGAAGTGAGGGGGAGGGCCTGTGACCACTAGGCAGATCTCTGGCTTATCCTCAGGAGGGCAGGGTGCCGACTCGGACCCCACGTGCCACTCCCTGAGCAGGAAGAGCTTAGTCAGCTCCAAGAGGTGACTGGCAGCTGCACATTCCCACCTCCCTGCACCCCACATCCAATGCTCATGTCCCTGCCCCTTCCAGCCTGCCCCACCACCATGTATCCAGACTCCTGTGCCCGGCCCCCCTGTGAGCCTCCATGACCCCCACAAATTGCCCCCAGCCCCCACCCATGTCAAGCCACCTCTTTTCCCTTTCTGCCTTCCATTCCCACTGTACCCTGCCCCCACGTTAGCCCAGGTCCTAGGGGCCCATGCTGCCACCTGGCTGTCACTGTGGCCTCATCATGGAAAGCGGTCCCTGCATGTCCTCAATGAATGCACTAGCCCAGCCTCCCCCATGGCCTCCTGGCCATGGCCTCCAGCACCTCTGCCACCCACAGACACCCCTGCACCGGGGAGGGGTCCCAAGATCACCCCAGAGACCCAATGCCCGCCCTCTGGTCTTGCGCCCAACCTCCCCACACTGCCACTCCTGCCTTCCCCAAATCCACCACCAAGTGTCCTCACCCTGGAACTCGGCTCTTTATTCACGTTCATTCACTTCTGCATCTTCACTGAGACATGTTAGACGTGCGTGCGGTAAACTGCACACGTGCTTATGGAATGCAGCTCGAGGGGTTCTGACATTTGTACCACGGCTGGCACCAAGCCCCTCCCGACTCCCAGGCAGCACAGGCTGTCACAGGTCCCCTTGCCTCCCGAGGCTACATCATGGTGACCCTGAGACTCGTGGTGGCTATCCAAAGGAAAGATTCAGAGACACACTGACACACACGGAGAGAAAACACCACACAGACGTCAAGGGGTGATGCTTCCCAAGCCCAGGACCATCTGAGATGCCACAAGCCAGGAGCTGGGGGAGGGGCCTGAAACGGATCACCCCTTGGACACCAGCCTGCAGACCTGGACAGCAGATGTCCACTATGAACACCCCATGTGCTGGGCTTGGTTGCACAGCCGCGGCATGCACTGAGAGTGTGACTTACACATAAGCCCACATATTGCTGGAGACCCATCCAACGAGCTAAACTTAATGTGAGAAGTAGACACCAACTCCAATTAAGCCAACAACTGGTCACTTATGGCTCAAGAGGCAGTGCGTTGCTGTGGATGTGACCCCTGAGCCTCGGAGGAGGTCCTACCTGAACCCTCAGACCAGAGGCGGGGCCACTAGGAGACCCCACCTTCCTCCATGGTTGTGGGTCCTCATCGGGGCTTGGCCATCCAGGCCGCCCACACACTCTCCAACAGGGCCCACCACAGGCCTTACCTGGCCTCGCCCAGCTGGGCCCCAGCTCATCTGCAGGACAAGAGTCTGCTGTCCACACAGCACAGGGCCCTCTGTGAGCTCAGCCCTGCAAGGCCTTACTCTGCACCGTGGGCACCTGTCCGTGGGGGTGAGTCCTTGCTGGGTGAGTCGCGGGGGCTTAGACACTGGTTCTAACAAGTGGCTCATAAGTAAGCACCTCAGCAGAGCCAGAACTAAAACTGGAAACTGGGAAAAATAGGCAAAACAAATACAGATAAATTTGTTTTTAATAAAGGAGTTAATTTTCTTTCAACCCTATATAAAACAATAGCAATTAAAAACTTCATTTTTGAAAGTAAAATATTTACATATGAACAAGTAACTGTGCAAAATTTACATGAAAAAATGGAAAGACGGGATTTCCTAAAAGACAAAATAAAAGGCGTAACAGTTCTCAGGTGTCGGTAAAAAATACTGATCTTTCAGCTCCCACTCTGGCGAATTAGTCTACCGTGAGGTTCCCACGGAGAAAGCCAAGTATTTACAGTCATAAAAGTACTATCAATAGACAATTTAATACAATAACCTCTGAAAATATAAAGAACCAATTAGTATATTTGTAATAAAAAAATAGGTATAAAGAAGGGGCTTGCTCTGGGCATCTGTAAAGGGCCCACAGCTCGCACACAGTCTCTTAGCAAAATAATTACAGTTTACAGAGGCGTTTCATGTTATGTGCCAAAATATGTACAATTACTGACAAAATACACCAGCCGTTCTCAACACTTGATTCACACTGAGAAAGTCTTTTGATGATTCTTCTCAACTTTGATTTTATTTCATCTAAGTTTTCACTTTTAGCTAAAAAACACAGTGCAAGTAAAATATATTTATGCTGAAAAGGTTTTCATTTCTTTTAACTTTACAGCTTTACAAACTATAGCAAATAAAATGCATTTGTACAGATGCCGGCCACACTCCGGGAGCCGCCAGGCCGGCTCGGCGAGGCAGGAGAGTGACTCACCCAGCGGCCGCGGCGGGCCGTGTCCCTCGAGTGCTGCACAGGGCGGGGGGATAAATAATCTAAAAATCAGTTTGCTTTGCCAACTGACTGATACAAAAATAAAATAAATGAAATGAGGTCATTGGCTTGCAGACACACACCTACGAAGTAAGTGGGGCTGAACTAAAACCAAATGCACAAATAATGTAAAAGCCGCTAGGAGGCGACACAGGGCAGCTAATTATTTGCTAAACGATTCTGTCAGCTTTTATATATGGCTTGTTTGGCAAGAAGGCCACTCAATCAAAGATGAGTTAGGATTTAGTTGTCCGTTAAGAGTACCCATGGGCCTCTGTTCTCTGTTACAGAAACTTGTTTTCTTCCGGACTGAAGAGTTGACTTAGAAACAGGAATATAAAACGGTTCCATTGCAAAGAGGTGGCTGTTTTTTAAACAATATCCCATTTGCTTGTTACAAAAAGGCGTAATCTGCAAATATATAAAAACGTCCCAGGCGTCTCTAACGAGATGCCGCAGGTCCTGTGCTACTTAAGGAACGCTTTATAGAGCAACAGTGAATGGCTTGTCTCGCGTTCATTTTCTAAACAAAATATGAGGTCCCTGAGGTTGACCCGCGTGATCCTTTGTCGTGTGAACTGCCGGGGGGCTCCCACGCCGGAGCTGCCGGGGACTGCAGAGCCCGGGCCGGACCCCTGTGACAAAGGAGAAGACAGCCGAGTTAGTGGGCACAGGGAGTCAGGACTCAGGGCAGAGGAAAGGGCAGGGCCAGGTGAGGGCCCAGGATGGCATGTCTGGGGGCAACGTGAGTCTCCTTCAGTGTCCCAAGGAACCCTGACTGTGGAGGAAGCCAGGTGGGACAGGCCCATCCCAGAGGCCCGCTCCCCGAACTGACGTGCTTTATGAATCCCCACGGGGCGGGGCGAGGCAGGGGCAGGAACCCACAATGACTGCAGGGCCGCGCTCCAGAACCCTAGCCCCAGCTCCCCAGAGCTCACTCTCCGACCCCTGTGGCCTGAGGAGGGGAGAGATGGCGGCTCCTGCCCAAGGGCCCGGAGAGCAGCTCCTGGGGGTGTGGCCAATGTCCCCCAATCTCCACGCATCTGGGGGCTCCAGCAGGGCCGATGCCTGGGGCCAGTGTCATCCCCACTTCACTGATAAAGGCACATTCCTGACGCCACAAGGTCTGGAACCGGACAGGCTGGTGGTCATCTGCCTGGGCTGCAGCACTCCGTGGTCACTTGGACAAGAGAGGGGCTCCCTGCTGATCTGAGCGGATGCAGCCTGTGCCCTGGGCCTCGGACATGGGCCTGAGTCTCTGGTGCTTGTAGAGACGGAGTCTGGGAGTCCTCCTGGAAGCACCTTGCGGGCCCAGCAGCAGCAGCATCCATGGTCTCAGCACATCACCGCCTCCATCGCACACTTAGGCACAAGCCACACAACTCCCACTGCACGGCTCTCGTGTCTCCGAGTGGAGTGGAAGCTAAGTCTCTGAGTCTGATGGTTAAAGTTGCTCGTGTATAGTTCAAGTGCAAAACCACCTTGGCGTTTTTACAGCATTTCCTCCAGGTTTAAGATGGGAGCAGAGGGGCGAGGTCATGGCATTGCAGGTGGCCAGCAGTGGCAGGGGAGGCCATGCCTGACCCCCTACCTGAGCCCATTCCCCAGGGGGCCTGGTGGTCCCAGGCATCTCAGGCACATCTTCCACCAATAAGTTACATTGTCTGTGCACCCCCTAGACTCCCCCTAGGCGCCCCAGTAGCCCCCGCCCTGCAGCCCTCCCATGACTGCTCCTCCTTGTTGGAAGAACTACCCAATGGAGTGGTTCGTGTCAGAATCAAACAGCACTCCTGAAAGGGCTGTGCTGGCAACAGCTTAGAGCCGGCGACAGGTCAGGCCGCAGAGCAGAGCCAGTGGGGCGGAAAAGCTGGAGGCTCTCGGACAGTGCCCTCTCAGAGGCAGGAGAGTGTCACTCGGAGGAACAAGGGCACCACCTACATCACGGACATGTGTCTCTGACACACACTATCAACCTGGCCCCTGGCTGTGTTTCTGCTTTCAGAACAGCCGGGCAGCTGAAACTTAAAAGTCAGAAATCAACACAAACAATATTTTCTAAAAACCAAAACAAAAGAGCAAACAAAACAGCAGCAGTCGTGGGCAGAGACAAACTGGTGACGGCCAAGGGGTGTGGGCGGGCGAGACCGAGGAAGGTGACTAGAGACGCAGACTCCCAGTTATGGGGCAGGTCACAGGGACATGACATCTGTGCTCGGTGAGAGCCTTGTCACGGGGCTCCCTTGTAATGCAATTAGATAGCAAGTCTCTGTGTATGCCTGAAACTAATACAGTGTTGTAAGTCAACTGTATTTCTTTTCAAAAAAAGACAAGTACTTTAACGCAATATTTTTTGGAAATCAAAACCATTACAAAGAAATCCTGATGGACAAGCACCCACAGGGCCCATGGGTGTGGCTGCAGGTCAAAGGACACAGGAAACAAGCACTTCTCCTGCTTCTGTTGACTTTTATAACAACCCCTGTGCTCAAGGACCCTACCCGATACTCAGAATCCTTCTAATTACATGGGGGAGAGCTATTTTTTTCACTTCTCCTCAATCGGAGGGAGTATTCATGTCATACTATGGCACCTGGCTCCAAAGAGGGTCCAGCCGTGGGGGTAAGAGGAACCTGAGGAAGAAGCCCTCAGGACAGCAGGACAGCCCAGCCCTGCAGCTGAAGGACCCACGGGACCTAAGACAACAAGAGTCTGTTCCCGGCTCAGACGTAGTGACCCTGGAATAATTCGAGTGTGTGAGAGTGAAGAGGGGCTGAGTGGGGACAAGTTAAGGTCCTGCGAGAACAAGAATGTCACCATCGAGGACAGGTGAGCCCTCCCCTCAGCCTAACCAAACAAAAAGCCTGCCCAGCTACCCTGACTTTGAAATGCTGCCAGAAGAGGGAGCCATCGGCCCATTCATCTTGTAAAACACAAACCAGAGAAGCCTAGCAAGGCCCTGGAGAACCGCTGCAAAACCAGAGCCCTCGATCCCAGCCGGTCAGAGGGGAACTGTCTGGAAGCAAGAGGACACGGAGAAGGGCACCAGCACTGGGGCCTCCGGACATGACAGGCTGGAAGGACACAGCATATTTCTGTGACAGTGCAGCAAAATCACATGACCTGAGTTTAACCACAAGGAAGCATAATCCCCACCCGAATTAAGGGACTTTACCAAATAACCAACTCGTCCCCTTCCACAGTGCCGGGACCAGAAGGACAGAGAAGACTGAGGACTGTCACAGATGGGAAGAGACCACGTGAGGACCAGACATCACGCGGGATCCCAGACAAGGGTGTGCCATGGAGAGGGCACTGGTGGAAATGGGGAAACACAGATCCAGAGGAAAGAGCTGCAAAAGACACAGCTGATAAAGAACTGTTATCCACAATATACAAGGACTCTGAAGATTCAACAGGAAAACAAACAACCCGATGGAAAATGGGCCAAGACCTTCCCAGACCCCTCACCAAGTAGCTACACAGATGACCGGCAAGCAAATGGCAAGATGCTCCGCGTCTTAGCCCTAGGGGAAGGGAAGTTAAACAAGGAGAGTCCACTGACACCCAGCACGCCAAACCCAGAGCACTGACGCCGCCGAGTGCTGGCGAGGACGGGGCGGCGCGGACCCCTTCACTGCGGTGGGAACGCAGCCGTGCGGCCGCCCTGGAAGGCAGCTCGGTGGCCTCACACACTGCACAGCCTCTGGGACCCAGCAGTCACGCTCCCTGGTGTTTGCCCAGAGGAGCTGAAAGCCGATGTCCACACAGACCTGCACAGACGTTTACGGCAGCTTTGTTCCTGACTGACAGAAGGGGAAGCAGCCCCGACGTCCCTCGCCAGGTGGGTGGATGAATCTCCGCGGTCCAGCCAGCCAGAGGGGTGGCATTCAGCTCCGAATAAAATAAGCGTCAGGCCATGAAGAGACACAGAAGAGCCTGAAGTGCACGACTAAGTGACAGAAACCAACTGAAAAGGCTACAGACTGTGTGACCAGCTGTGCGACATCTGGAGAAGGCAGCTGTGGAGACGGTACAGACCATGGCCAGGGGCTGGGGAAGGACGGAGAGGGGGCAGAGGGTTTTAGGGCCGTGAAACTTCTCTGTGTGGTACTACGATGGTGGGCACATGTCATTACACGTTGTCCAGCCCCACAGAACAGAACATACGGCCCCAGTGCACACCGTGGCTCTGGGTGATGATGCCAATGCAGGGGCCCTGACTGTTACAAACGCCCGCCGGGTGGGCTGTGAGCAGGGCGAGGAGCTACAGGGAACTCTGCACGTTCCTCTCAATTTTGCTGTGAACCTAAAACAACTTTAGAAAATGTTTATTAATTTTAAATTTTAAATTCTGAAAAACAAAATGAAATAAAGTCCTCAGTGAACAGTATAATACCAATGACACCAGTAAGGATTGCTGGGTGACAGATATACAAAAACTCTAGCCCTACCCAGTTTGGCTCAGTGGATAAAGCGCTAGCCTGAGGACTGAAGGGTCCCAGGTTCGATTCCAGTCAGGGGCACAGGCCCGGGTTGCAGGCTCAATCCCCAGTGGGGGGCGTGCAGGAGGCAACTCATCAATGCTTCTCTCTCATCATTGAGGCTTCTCTCTCTCTCTCTCTCTCTCTCTCTCTCTCTCTCTCTCTCTCTCTCTCTCTTTCTCTGTCTCCCTCTCCCTTGATCTCTGAAATCAATAAAAATTTATTTTTTTTTAAACTTTCCAAAGTTTCTACAACTTTTCTGTGTGTGTAAAAATTAGTTCAAAATAAAAAGGTTTTTTTTTTAAGACATACTCTGAGGGAAATCTTAAACTTGGAATAAAAAGATAAGAGACTGAGCACCATCTCTGATGGAGAGGCGGAGAGAGGACATTTAAGTTCTGGGCTTGATGTTGCCCATCGCACGTACAACACAACTTTCCCTGCAGTCCCCATAGCAACGCCAACACTGCGGAGGCCTCACCGCCGTCCGTGGCGACGAGCTTCCCATCGGCTCCTCTGCCTCCCAGGCCTCAGGCCGGTCTCCGCCCTCGCCGGCACCCCTACCCGCGTGCAAGCACTGTGCCTTCTCTGTCCTTTAGAGGTTTTCTGGATATCTCACCTCCTAAGTCAAAACACTCTTCTGGGAATCTGCCCTCCCGTCCTCGCACAAGGACCCGAGCCACTGACATGGTCGGGAAATTAGTTTCATAAACAAAACACGGCACACACTGACAACAGCAGCAGAAACTAAGTTTCCACCAGGAGGGGCACAGGCCAGGGCACGCTGGAGAGAGGCCCTGGGGTGCCCAACCCAGCCTCCATTTAAACGTCAACACTGAGCTGGCTTCAGATACTGAAAGGGGCACTCGTGACACACAGCACACACATGAACGCACACGTGCTTGTGCACATGCATGCACAACACGCAGTACACACACACATAAGCACTTGCAGGCACTCGCACACACTCAGCATGCACACACGCTCACACATGTACGCGCACATATGCACAGGCACCGCCCTAAAAGGAACCAGGGCTCCGGACCAGCTGCTGGCGGGGTGCCTGGAGCCCTTGTGCCAGTAGAAATGGGACGCCTGAGGAATGAGGTGACATTTCAAAAGGATATAGAGAGCAGCTTGAAGAAGCCTCCACTGACCATCTAGAAATAACGAGAGGATTGATTACCACCCACTGAGAGCAACAGGAATCCGCCGGTTCGCGCGCATGTGAACAGATGAGGATGAAGGCAGGAGGGAGAAGGCAAAGCTCTTCTTACAGGAGAGGCAGCTAGTGATGGAGCAGATGTGACCACAGACAACCCCATTGGCACCGGTGGTGTTAGCGTGCAGTGGCAGTTGTGCGGGGCTAAGGCTGGAGGTCGGTGGGGAAAGTGGTCTGCACAGCCCTGCCACGTCTCCTCACTAAGGACTGATCCTTCTGAGGGCGCAGCATGACTGTACCCAGGAGTGACCTGGCAGATGCCAACTGAACCAGGTGGCATCAAGTTCACCAGGTCAACATGGGGGCCTGATGACTGATGACCACAGCAGAGCACCAGCAATCCTGAGCCCAAGGCCTGACCTCTAACCCTGTCCAGAATAGGGACACTTGGAAGAGACTAACAAGGCACACGAACTGGACCAAAGAGAAAAGGAGATCAACGCTGCCAGGACAGCTTGTGAAATGTGAACAGTCTGAGGACTGACCAGTAGCCGGATCCGTGCCAATTCCCCCATGACAAGGTTGGATAGCATATCAGAAACTGTGTGGGTGTGTACATATAGAAAACAATAATACAGAAGAAACTCTGTGTTTCATCTACTCACACTATAAACATACTTTTGCCCCATTCTGTAAATGTTTAATACTATATATATAATAACCAAATGCACATACACACAGATATGGGGGGTGGGGAAGACAGGGCAAAGAAGAAAATGTGATAAAGTGTTCAGAATGGAAAATCTGAATGAAGGGAGTTCTTTATACTAGTCCTAAAATTCTTCTGTAGGTTTGAAACTATTTTAAAATAAAAACACTTTGAAAGAAGTTTATCAACATATTCAAGGGAGATGGTAACAGGGACAGCATTTTTAGGATCTTGCCAAAGGCCCATCTATATATATAAAAGCCTAAGCGATCATTCAACTGTTTGACCGTTTGACAGGTAGCTAAGACATGCACTGACCACAAGGGGGCAGATGCTCCACACACAGGCATAGAAACATGGAACAGACTAATGAATCTCAAAGGGAAGGGGAGGAGGGGGAGGGTGGGAAGAGATTAACCAAAGATCTTATATGTATACTAGAGGCCTGGTGCACACATTTGTGCACCCGTGGGGTCCCTTGGCCTGGCCTGAGGGAATCAGGCCGAATCCATGCACTAGGCATCCAACATCCCCCTAAGGGATCCCAGACTATGAGAGGGTGCAGGCCAGGCCAAGGAACCCCACCAGTGCACAAATCCATGCACCAGACCTCTAGTATCATATAAACCACAGAACAATCAGATAGCAACACCCAAAGCAGCAGACACTTGAGAACAAAGCCAGTGAAGGTGAACCACAGCAGTCACATGCCTCAATGGTATTGCAAAACCGTGCAGGGCAAGTAGGAAAAAGGCAACCAGCACCACCAAGCCTACAACCCAGGGGCCAGCAGGCTTTCACTGGAAGAACAATGGTTCATTTAGAGCAGGAACTAAACCTGGGAGGACCTGTCTACTCACACACCAGCCCAGTGCTGGGAAGCCTTACAGGACTGACCAGGGCTCCCAGGCAGGAAATCAAGCTGAGCAGGAGGAAGGTGAGGGGCAGAGAACAGTGCAGAAAAATAGAGTGGGAAGCTGAGCCATGGACTCTCAGAACATGAGCATCCACACTTGTACCACCATGGAAACAACCCAATCAAGTCACAAACTTCCTCAAACCACACTGCTTCTTAAAAGTTCAAGAAAACAAATATACAAAAGTGAGCAACTGAAAGCATTAGCATCAAATCCCATAGGAGACACTACAGGAAAAAGGAGAAAAGGAGCAAGATAACATCCTTATAGATGACAAAAAAACAGATGAAAACTGTATTGTGCTAATTCAAAACAAACTAAAGACATTAAGGAAATAATGACAGGCATGAACAAAAATCAGAATTGACAAAACTTAGAAATGAGGCAACAAACCAAGAATTAGAATTAGAAACAAAATTCCACTTGAGAAATATAACTAAATTAAAAAGAACACAAGAGCAAAGAAGCACGACAAATAACACCTTAAGAAGAAATTACAAAGGTGAAAAAATAAAATAAAAAATATAATTTTAAAAAAGAGATTGAAAAGATTCATGCAAAGATTATAGAGTAATGGGAATCTCTAAAAAGGAAAACAAAATAGCAAGGCACCATTAAAGAAAGTGATCCTGCCAAAACCGGTTTGGCTCAGTGGATAGAGCGCAAGTCTGCGGACTGAAGGGCCCCAGGTTTGATTCCGGTCAAGGGCATGTACTTTAGTTGAGGGCACATTCCCAGTGGGGGGGTGTGCAAGAGGCAGTTGATCGATGATTCTCTCTCATCGATGTTTCTAACTCTCCCTCTCTCTTCCTTTCTGTAAAAAATCGATTAAATATATATATATTCACACACACACACACACACACAGAAATTGTTCCTGAAGGAAATAGGATCTGATGCCTTATGCTGAAAGGACACACCTACACTGAAAAGGCCAATCCAAGAGTAAGCAACTCTATGTAAATGAAAGGCTTAAAGAAAAGAATTCTGTGGGCATCTTGGAGCAAAAAGAACATATTACACAAGAGAAATGCAGTATCATCAGACTTGGGGCAGCACTTTCTCCCAGGAACCAGTATCTGAGTGACACATGTAAGGTTCTCAAGGAAAGAAACATGAGCCAAGGATTTTATGGCTGTCAGAACTGACCTTCAAATAGAAAAGGCAGTTATCAAGATGCGAGAACTTGAGGAACGATGTCTCCATGAACCATTTCAAAAAAGTCTGGTAGAGTGAGATTCAGAAAAACAAAACGCTAATGAGAACGCTGTCAGCATGGAGAATAGTCATCAGTATCAAATACACTGTTTTTTCCTGAACTGAGAGTACAGGAGCTACAGAGAGGGCAGACCAGGGAAGCGCTACAGTGCAGTACTTTTGTGGTGAGCCAACACCCGCCATACTCCTGGCACCCAGGAGTAAAGACCCACCCTCCAAAAACCTAAAACCAACCTGGACAGGGTAGGCAGAGCTTGCAGGTGAAGCTGCCAGGTCAGAGGGGCTTCTGAGACCCCATGAGCTTCTTACAGACCCTTTCTAACAATAAAGTGAAAAACAAGCCAAGTGGCAGGACTTCCTGCTGAAACATGAACAACGTTCTTGAGAGGAAGACAAAATCCTGAGTCAACCAGCACAGCAGGCACAATAGCCAGCACTTGATCAACAATCACTAGACACACAGAGAAACAGGAAGTATGACCTGCAGTTGGAGGAAAAGGCAGCCTGAGATGAGCCTGAGACAGCCCAAATGTTGGACTTGACAAGGATATCAAATGGCTTTCACAGACAGGATGAAAGAAAAATGGAAAAATATGGTGTCCACAAGGGGTAATGGGGAAGCTCAGCCAAGAATTAGAAACCATAGAGACCTAAGTGAAAACCCTGCAACTTCAGAATATGTTAGCTTCACAGCCATCTGGAGACGTGGTTGGGAAAGTTGAGGATAAGTCAGTAGAAATTATCCAATCTGAAAAAAAGGTGGAATGTACATGTAACTGGGAGTCCCAGTAAAAAAATAAATAAGATGACAGAAAAGAATTTTGAAGAAATAAAAGCCAAGATATTCCAAATTTAAGGAAAAATACTCTCCTAGAGATCTAAGAACTCCAAGCAGGTTAAGTATCAACAGAACTGAATCTGAACACAACATAGACAAACTTCGGACAATCTCAAAACAATAAAGGAGAGGAGTGAGGCCTACAGGGAACAGGGACCTGGAAGACAGTGGAACAGCAGCTAAAAGTAGGAGAATGGTTACACACCTGCGGTTCTCAGTTTAGAACAGATGTGCAGTTCAGCAAAGCACACGATTTAGCCTCCCTTCTTTTGTGAGCTGGTCAAGAAACCACGGCACTAGGACAATCCTTAGAAAGGAAGGAACCAGTGGTGCCTCAGAGGGGTCCGAAGAACAGAGAAAACGTCAGGGATGGCTAATTCCTGGACTCACTTATCCCTTTAGTCTGTTGTTCTATAAAATTAAGTGATATATATCTGGTTTTGCTTGGCTTACCGTATTCAAGAATGTAGGAGACATTAAATCTTAAATTTTTTAAAAGAGTTGAAAGAAAAAAACAGACTGTCAACCCAGGATTTCATTCTCAGAGAAAACATTATTTGAAACAAAGAAATACAACCATTTTCGGTAATCAAAAGTGAGGCCTCCACCGCCAGCCTCTATATTGACCAGCTAAGTGCTGTGCTAGCACTCCGGGAACGGTAGAGAATCAGAGATGATGTTTTCTCTTCATGTAGTTTTAGCTTTCTTCAGGGTTGATCCCTAACTATACATAAAGATATGCCAACAAGCAAAGCAAGAAACTGACATGCGCTGGGAGTGACCGTCCCGTGCTGATCCCTGTTCCGTCCAGTAAGAACAGCTCTCCTGTGAAGGGCCTTTCCCTGACAGTTATAATCGCCCACATTCTTCTCAAAGCCAGTCTAAATCTCATCATATTAAACCATGCAACTAAACTTCTTATGGAAAGAACTCGCCTCCTGTGATGTTCACAAATAAGTCGATTTTAATGTAAAGTGTCAACCACGCATGTGATAACGCCCGTTTTCCTACGTGCATCTGACTACACCGAGGGGTGAGCTGCCCCACGCCTCCTCCACCCCCCATCCCCACACACGGCTGTACCTCGGCCCCGGAGCCCGGGCCTGGGGAGTCCACTTTCCGCTTCTTGCGGGGCCCGATGGCGGCCAGCGCGGTGAGATTGGCGTCACGCTGCCTCATCTGCGCCAGCTCCTGCTGCTGCATCTATGTGAAGAGGGAACAAGGATGGTCACCTCAGGTGCGTTTCCTGCTCTCAGCAAAGTGACTCACAGACAAGAGGTTGGCACAAATTTTCTAAATTAAAATTTCTTTCATGTTTGAAGCTTTTTTTTTTTATTTAACAGAAAACATATTTTACAGTCAGAAAACAATAAACCAAGAGGTGCTCATCGTAGAAAGCTCTGGACAAATTTACAAGTACAGACTGATCACTCCAGTGAGAAAGTGCATAGCTCTGAAGTGGGCAGGCAGCTCAGAGACCACTGGGGCGAGCACTCCAAGCATCTCCAGAAATGCTGCCTCATCAATGCCATCACAGACCCACGCTCCCACGGGGGACGGGGACAGGTCCCAGCGGCTGAGAAGGCTCTTCCACCCCAAAGCTCCTCACCTCTTTCGCCTTCTGTTTCAGCCTTAATTGCTCTGGATCCTCTTGTCTGGAGCGAGACTATTTTTCAAAGAGGGAAAGAAGAAAGATAGGTTATGACCTAAATGTTCACAACATGGCAACACCACGGTTGTAACAGGAGGCACACTGTTTAAATGCTGAAAGTCCAAAGGTGAAAATCTGTGTTGCATGACATGGGGAATAAAACAAACAGAATTCTTCAGAAAACAATACCCGTTTGGACAGAAAACCTAAGATACAGTCTCTGATGTGCCTGCCAGCTATAGAAACCTGACGGGGTAGGACACAGGACAGGAGCCAGGATGCGCCCTGCCCCACATGCTATGGCTCCTGAGGCCTCACACCCCAGCCCCACTCCTGATTGCACCCCAAACACCACTCCAGCCTCCCAAGGAACCCCGAGGCATCTGTCATCCCAAGGTACTCAGGAGCACTTGCCTTGGCTGCTCGCATTAAGATCTCTCTTTCCTGCTCATCTTTCCTCTGTTTTTCAATCTGATCGAGTTGTTCAAAAAATTTGAGCTGAGCCCGAACATCACTCGCCTGCTCGTATCTGTCATCATCCTACAAAGAAGGTAAAATGATATGCTGATCAATTGGAAACCCAGCTGGACAGTCTGCATCCCCTTCCCGGTCCAGTTCCCATAGCTTCGCCCCCGGTCCAGACCCTGCACCCGATGTGCTCCACGTTTATACAGAGGAAAGGCGCAGTGAGCTCAAGGGGAGTTTCCACTTTATACATTTCGCTGTTTGTTTTAAGTAACATTTAAAACTTTCATAGCAGCATAAACATTTTCAGAATAAAACAGCTCTGTGCTTTCATTCTAACAGCTGCTCTGTAGGCGCTGTAGCCAGTCTATCTTGCTCTTCGGTGCCTGTGGGACAGCACTCACTGGAGCATAACAAGGATGCATGCTGGCCACTGCCGTGGAGGCCAGGCCTCTGGCACAGGAGACCTCAACAAAACACAACAGGCAATGTTCCAAGTCACCGAGCAGACTGGAGCCCCCCATCTGCAGGGTTAGCTGGAAACCCCAGGGGCAACTGGGAACAAGACCCCATCCATCATGCCCTAACTGAAAGTCACCTCCGCCTGTCCCAGCCACAATCCCTCTGTCCCCAGCCTGGGGGACAGAGTACCTGAGAGCAATGTGCAGCCAAGAAGTGCATCTTCCCCACACCTCGCTCTGCAGGAGACTGGAGCTAGCCAGGGGGCTGCCTGCATGCACTGGACAACAGGACACTGGGTCCGGGAACAGCACGTTACCTTATGAGAAAAGTTCTTCTGCTGAGCCGTTTCTGATATTTTTTCCACGAGGTTCTGCAGCCTCTGTTGTGTGGCGTGTGATACGTAACTCACCACGTCGGGGTGCAGTTCTGTTATGCCATGTTTCTTACCTGGGGATCAGGCAATAGTTCACACATTTAGGCACTTCTTTCTCACCACTTGCTGCCTTGCACAGCCTCGGGGCAGGCCCCGGGCAGAGCACCGTCACCACCACCACCACCACGACACAGGCAAACCCGTGGTGGGGAGCTGCTAGGAGGGGCAGCTTGACCCCAATGGAGCACTAAAGTCATGGTACCCACAGACCCCGTGGGGACGCAGACGCCTGTGACAGCCGTGAAACAGGAACGTACCTATTTCCAATATCCTCCTCTGCAAAGGCGCTGGCAGGAGGAAGGTTTCGTCTTTGCAGGACCGTGTGAGCGTGCCCACCAAGTCAGAGTTCGTGGCTAAGATCCTTGCACTTTCTTCCGATAGGTTTACTCCAGCCATTGATGCCACGTCGTTAATGTCATCATCGTCCCTTAAGGTAAGAACAACAGATGACTGTGCCAAGCACGGGCTGCAGCAGAAGCGCATTCAGGTGGTCCCAACTCAGGGGCAATGAACGGGTGGAGCGAACAGGGGCCCTTGGAAAGCATGGCTCACACCTCCCCAGGCACGCGTCTGCCATCTGCCTCGCGCTCTGTGCTGCCTGTCACCTGAATGAGGAAGCCTAGGGGTCTTCTTTGACAGTGACCCCAGTCTTCTAAAGAAATACCCATTCAGGGACAAGGCGGGCGTGAGTCTTTGCATATGGACGAACATGTGCACAGAACTCCCCAACAGTCAATGCCAAGTTCAGACAGCAAAACCCAACACCCTACTCACTGCTCAAGGAGTTCCCCCAAATGGAACTCTTTTAAAAGTCACAGAGCTGCCAAGACCAGTTTGGCTCAACGGATAGAGCGTCGGCTTGGGGACTGAAGGGTCCCGGGTTCGATTCCGGTCAAGGGCATGTACCTTGGTTGCGGGCATATCCCCAGTGGGGGTGTGTGCAAGAGGCAGCTGATCGATGACTCTCTCTCATCGATGTTTCTAACTATCTCTCTCCCTTCCTCTCTGTACAAAATCAATAAAAAAATAAAAATAAAATTTAAAAAAAATTTTTTTAAAGATGAAATTTATTTAAATAAATAAATAAATAAATGTCACAGAGCATTGCCCTAGCCAGTTGGCTCAGTGGATATAGCACTGACCTGTGGACCAAAGGGTCCCGGGTTCAATTCCAGCCTAGGGCAAATATGCAAAGGTTGCAGGCTCAAACCACAGTTAGGGGGTGTGTAGGAGGTAGCCGATCAATGATTCTCTCTCATCATTAATGTTTCTCTCTCTCCCTCCCCCTTCCTCTCTGAAATCAATAAAAGTATATTTTAAAAAAACAAAACTGCTCATTTTACTTTCCAAAAAAAGCCACAGAGCATTGCCCTAGTCAGTTTGGCTCCATGGACCCTGCAGACTGAAGGGTCCTGAGTTTGGTTCCACTCAAGGGAATGCACCTTGGTTGCAGGCTCCTCCCTGGCCAGGGCACATGCAGGAGACAACCAATCAATGTGTTTTTCTCACATTGATATTTCTTTGTCTTTCCCTCTCCCTTCCACTCTCTCTAAAAATCAATGGAAAAATATCCTCCGGTGAGGGTTCAAAATAAAAAAGACACAGAGCGTTAATTTATATATCACACAAGCGCAGACTCCGGAGAGAATTGGAGCTCAGTACGCAGAACTCCTTCCTGAACCACCTGAGGGTATGCTGCTGACTGGACACCCCCACTGGGCGTCCTGGCCGACAAGGGCACCCTAAGAGAACCTGGCTGCATCACCAGCCGCGCTCAGACCCGCCCAACTGGCGGAATGGCCCAGGAGTGCCATCCACAGCAGAGGTCCTGTTCACAGTGAGTGAGTTTCTAACCCCAAACCACAGATAAAAGTCTGGCGTTTCACTTGATGTCTCTTTAGCCTCCTTCGGCCTGGAATGCTCCGAGCCCTTCCTGGATCTCATGCCCTTCACACTTAGTCACAGGCCACCTGTTTTAACATACGTCCTCGTTTTCCATCTGATGTCCCCTCGTGACAAGATACACCTTTGGCAGGAGTTTCACACAATTACGTCCACCACCTCCACAGGGCCTGGGTTTTGTTGGTCCCTTTCTAGCGTGTCCTCCAAGCACTCGCCCATGGTCCCTGCCCTGCTTCCCCACCGCCGGGCACTCCGCCCGCCCTGTGTTTGGATGTGAGGACCTGGAGTGTGTGTGCACCTGTGCACGCTCTGAAACTGGGTGTCCCATTCCTCATAAACTATCAACTACTCATTTTACGGGCTCAAGGCTTCCTGTCTGTGCTGTGAGGACAGTCTATTCCTAGAGATGTGGTCAGCAGCAGGAAGACCACTCTGAAGACCTCTGTGTGAGCTCTGACCCCTGTCTGTCCCCCCTGAACACTGCTCTCTGACCTAAGGAGATGTGCTAAGCCCACCTCGCCTCCCCCTGACCCAGCCAGGGGTGGTCAGCCTTTTCCAGGCACGCTGGTCACTATAGGAACACAGATGTCAGAAGATGAGATCTGAGCACCCGGGAGCTTGCTACCACCAGGTGTCACTGCTCCCGGCTCCTTGGATGGGCAGAGTGAGGAATTTCCATCTGCTGCTACTTCAGACCTGTCTACACTGCACCAGGAGATGATGCCACCATGTCCCATTCCAATCCGACACCACAGGTCCACTCAGCTCATGTTCTGCATTTGACTCCCTTCTCTGCCAGGGAGAGGCCCAGGCTTCCCCACCTTCCATCCACTCTCAGTTCTGAGCTGCAGTGACCTCACCTCCCATCTCCAGCACCTGCCCCCTCCCCACACCCTGGCGCTGCCCTCAAGCTGGGCTGCCCAGGCACATGGCCCCTTGCCTTCCTCAAACACTGGCCCAGCTCCGGCCACCTGCTGGCTGTGGGGGGAAAGGTCCCATGAAAGCCTTCTGACCCAAGACATTTCCTACAGCTCCATCATGACAGTCACAGCCCAGCCCTTCCTTCTGCCCCAACAGGTTAACCCCACCACAAGCAGGCTCAGCCCTATGCGTCAGGGAGCCCATCCACGTTCCGAGGGTCCCGAGGCTGAGAGCAGGGCGAGTGAGGCACCTGGAGGACTGATGCTCTCCGAGTACTGGGCTATTCAAGACCGTCACAACGGCTTCTCGATCACCTCACGCAGGCATTCCTTACCGAAACGAGCCTCCCCCGGGCTCCTTGAGTTTATTTTTCTGCAAAGCAGCTGCTTGGGCCGAGACCGCAGAAAGAGCTTTGGTTCCAGGTAACACAGCAGGTTTCACCACCGGGACTGCAAAACAAGGGACACAGGAACCCCGCCCGATGCAGCTGCATGTGTGTTGTGCCCGTGCCCGGCAGAGAGCCAGGGAGGATGCCCCCACCCACTACAATAAAGTCCTTAAAAGCAGTGAGTTTCTAACCCCAAACCACAGATAAAAGTCTGAGTGGCATCTCTCAAGCCTTCACTTGCTGCTGCCCCACGCTCACAGGTGAAGACTGACCGCACTGAACTGGACACTCAAATGGCTCAAATGGTCCCTTTCGCTGTGTGTGTCCCAGAAGAGTGAGGAAACTGGAAGACAGGACCTTCAGTGAGTGACCCGACTGCGGCCTCACCTGGCTGCAGTGGGTTCAGCTGGATCTGCTGGGGTGTGGTCAGCACGATGCGGTTGTGAGGCTGCCGGAGGGCCACCATGGGTGTCTGCGTCAGCGTCACCTGCGGGGGCCGGATCAGTGCTCCGGGCTTGGGCGGCTGCTGGATCACCTGCGGCAGAGCCACATCCCCATGAGCACTAATAGCGCCGGTTCCCAGCTGTCCCCAGCCATCCTCCTGCCATCGCCCTGGCCAGGACAAGGTCAGGATGCCAGGATCACATCAGCTTCCAGGCAGAGCTGCACCCAAGCGGCCCGAGACGCAGTATTGTGCGGCTCCTTCTCCTGCAGGCCAGCAGAGTTTATGTGGCCACCTGAGGCTACAGGTCAAATTTCTGTTTCTCCTCCACACTTTCTCTAAGAGGGGAGGAGGCCTTTAAGTCGGGGGGAGGTTAGATCGCCTATATCTCCCCTGAACTGTCCCCCAGATATGGCGTGCACCAGGCCCCAGCTGTGTGCCTGCTCCTCTTCCTGCACGGCCTGCATGGCTCTGTCTACCTTAGACTCCTGCCATTGATCATGTGCTCGCACTCTGTCTCTGCTCCCCATCTACTCATCTCCTTGTCCAGTCAGCCCACCTCCTCCATCTCCAGCCTCTGTCCAACCCCCGACACAGCAGCACCCCGAATCCTGGCAGCACCGAGTACCCACTGGGGCCAAAGGACACTACAGCCCCTTCTAAAGCCTCACAGCTACCATCCATGTGACCTCATTCCACCCCTCTGGGGCTGAGGGTTTCAAAATCCAGTCTGGCCCTAGCTGGTATGGCTCAGTGGAAAGAGCAATGGCCTAAAGACTGAAGGGTCCTCGGTTCAATTCCGGTCAAGGGCCATGCCCAGGTTGCAGGCTGGATCCCCATTGTGGGGCATGCAAGAATTCTCTCCCATCACTGATGTTTCTATGTCTCTCTCCCTCTCCCTTCCTCTCTGAAGTCAGTAAAAATATCTATTTTTTAAATCCAGTTTCTGAATTTTACAAGGTAACCGGTGAAAGTGTTGTGGGGCACACATAGAGAGGACAGGGCAGTACCCTGAGATCAAACTATTTTGGCACTGAGACCTGTGAAAGCCCACACTGTGCAGGATGGGTAAAGAGACGTGCCCCGGGCCTTCAGTCAGGATGAGCCTGAACCTGGGAAAGCTTCCAATTTTCACATCTACAAGCTTCAAGGAAACCGGTCAGACTCAGGCCTGGCTACTCACTGCTGACCACACACACACACACACACACACACACACACATGAATCTGCACAGAACCCGGGAAGCCGAGCGCAGAAGGGTCTCTGCTGGTCGACACGGGGAACACCGATAGCATCACTCACACACCTGCACCACAGGTCAATCTCCGAGAACAATGGCTTCCCATCATGCTCTCTTCAAGAGAACCCAGCTTTTGTGAAAATCAGCCCAGGGGTTGCCAAACAGGACAGCTCTGTGCCTGCGTCACATGAAAGGAAAGAAGTCTGCCCCTCGGACTGGAAGGAGTGTGGAGCTGTCATATGGGCACCTCCAGCCCTGACACTACTCACAACCTTCCCGAGGGGGTCAGCCTGCTTCCTCCCTGCCAATCCAGGCCAAACCCACTCCGGTTCTAACTGAGCAGGTGAGAGAGCTGCATGGATTTAATTGCCCATGGGGTTACCATGTTGCACCATCATAAACACACTCCACTTCGACTAAACGCCATGGAGCCTGGGGTGTGTTTTGCTGTAACTGGCTTTAGAGAAACAAAATCTCTTTGAATTTTTTTAATAGCCCCCAATCTGTCTATGGGAGCAAAGACAGCCTTTCTCCAGCTGCAAAGCTCGGGACACGGAATCCAAGCTGGCAGTAAATGAATGACAGCAACCTGCCACTCAGCTCCTGGAGTCACCAAGGCCCAGACTTGCTGCACACCCAGGCCCACAGTGCTCATCCAACACCAGCACACACTGTCGGTTTCTTGTATGTGGACCACTGCTCCCAATAAAGGTAATATCCAGCTAAGAGTCATATAAACTCACCATGTCCCTGTAAGCCAGGATCACCCCAACGATATAGGTGCCGGACGGACAGTGGGTAAAAGCCAACACACTAACGTCATGCTACTGAGGAATGAATCACAGAATTGTGGGGCCCAGGCTGCTGCCTTATCCACGGAAGCTAACGCAAGGCTGTCCTGCAGGCAGGAGTAAGGGGCTATCGCCTGCATACCAGCGGCGTGTGCTGTCCCTGCTTGCCAACGCCAACCTGTGTGGGCTGCGTGAGGCTGATGACAGGGGGCTGGAGAGCGCTGGTCACAGTGGCCGCCGTCTTCCCGGCCGTGCGCTGGACGGAGCTGCTCAGCACCACGGCTGTGAGTGCAGTGGTGGCCTGCTGGGCAGGCGGCTGCTGCTGCTGGCTCTGCTGGATGAAGGCTGCGGAGTCAGGGGTCAGCTGTCTCAAGGCAGGCAAGCTCCTCTGGGTAAACACAAACACAGGGTCGGCAGGCAGCACAGCATGGGGTCCCCTCTCCAAAACTCAGACACACCCCATTCTGAGGTACAGTTCTTAAACTCAAGAGTGTCGGTTTTGCCGGCCAGTGTGCCTCAGTGGGCTGAGTTTGCTTCCCTGCACCAAGAAGCCCCAGGCTGGATTCCAGTCAAGGCACATGCCCAGGTTTGCAGATTCAATTCCCAACAGGGGGCATATGGGAGGCAGCCAATTGAGGTTTCTCTCTCATTTGTGTTTCTATCACTCCCTCTCCCTCCCTCCCTCCCTCTCTCTCTCTCTCTAATAAAAACTTTTTTTAATAGTGCGGTTTCAGAGCTTAGAGAGTTACCTCTGGTGTGGGTGGCAGCCTCCAGCACTGACCCTGAGCCCAGGAAGATGGCGCAGCACTTCTGAAATGCTCTGAGAATGCTGTGCACCAGAGATCACCTAAGGGACGACCGCTGCTCTTGGAGCCTGGCTCCTCACCGGGGTGGGTGTCCCATCAGCCCTCACGCTCACGGACAACCCATGAGTCGGCCCTGTGCTTGGAGTGAGACGCCCGAAGGCCAGCAGTACTGAGGTCCAACGCCCTCTAAGAGGACGCCGCACATTCTGCTGCAGGTGCTTTAGGCTTTCAACACAAGGTGCCAACTGTGCCCACTCCTCCCTCAGAACAGCACGGAGATGGACAAGGGCTTTGCCGTTACCTTCAGGAAAGGCACAAGGTAAGGTTGAGGTGAAGAATTAAGTTCTCGGTACAGCCGGCTGGTGAAATCTTCCGCTTCGATTTTTCCATCCTTAAAAATAAGACTCACATGAAATTCCTTCAGGACTGGAAGTTTGCACACACACCTCTTGAGGCTATTCTGGTCTCCTGGTCTCTCTGCCAGGTCTGGACTGACAGAGGCAACAGGAGAGTCAGCGTGCCTCGTACTCAGCCAATGTGGGTATCCCAGGTGTGTGCTGACCAGCCCACCCCTGATCTCCCCGCCAGCTGTCAGTCAACAGTGCCCAGCCCTGACCACGTGTCAGACCATCCTGCCAGGAGCCAAACAGCCTGAGGGGAACCTCTCTGGCACAGTCAAAGCTGCGAGCACAGGCGCAGAGGGGTCAGGGACGACACTTCCACCAAGGCCTCGAGCCTCGGGGAGGAAGCCGCACAGGGAGGCTCTGCAGACCCAGGACAGGCTGCCGTGTCACACCGGGGCCGGGCTGGTGGCGAAGCTCTTACCAGCAGGTGCTGCACCAGCTCCTTCACATTCGCTGCCGTCTCTGTGGATTGTTTACCGGATGAGGCCAGCTTTATTAATGTAGACAGAAAGTTCTTACATTTCTTCACGTTTTCCATAGTTTCCTGCATTCAAGTAAAAAGACACCTGTGAAGTCTTACAGGCAAATGCCCATCTTCACCCTGAGAACTGTTTCTTCTCTAAGCATTCTCCTAGCCTGCTGGTGGGGCCTGGCCCTGGCAGGTGCCCAAGCAGGGTGCCCAAGGATACCTGGCCATACAACCAAGAAGGACCTGGCTCACACTTCCCTCCGCTGGTGATTCCCTCCCTTGGAATGTCACAAGGCGAAAATCACAAAGATAAAAAGTTGACTCCATCACTGGTCCCTGCAGTGTGTTCATCACCAAGAAGAACTGGCATCTCCCCGATGCATAGTGAAAGGGTTACAGAGCATCACAACTGCTAACGCTGACGAACTACTTGGCAAAGAAACTGGAAGAAGCTGTAAATAAAGTGGGATCCCAGTGTGAAGATTTATGCATGTGCAGGGAACTACTGAAGTGTAAACCCAAGCGGGTAACAGTGCTGTTCTACGAACACTACTAACTGCAAACACTACTGTCTGGGCCTCTGTCACCACGGGGAGCCCTCTGCACACGTGGTCCCACCTGAGGGGTGCACAGGCAGCACTCACCGTGGCAGCTGTGGAGGTGGTGGTGGCCCCCGGGACAGTCCGCTGAGGTGTCCCTGTCTGAACAGTCGCCGCCGTCCCGATCGAAGCTGTCTGGGCAGCGCCACCCAGAACAAGCTGAGGCTGCAAGATGCCAAAACACAAGGTAAACAGAGGCTGCAGGCAGCAGCCTTATGTCTGGAAAGAGAGTTCCCTGCACGGGTGGGGCCTCGCTGGGGGACATGCACCCTGAGGACCTTCGGACACAGCGACAGGCCGAGCCTGATCACTGCAGTCCTCAGCACCTGAGAAGCAGGATGATGCACCTCCAGCAAAAACTGATAGAAACAAAGCCAATCGCTGGAAAAACTTGGTGCTCAGGAGTTGATCCTGAAGTCACATGGTGACCAGTACAAATGGCCTTTTAATAAGCAAAGTAGGTCTCATCCTCAGTTCAAAAAACAAACTGCAATAAGGAATGTCACTGCCTGGTCTGCACAGAGCCTGGTGACAAGTCAGCCCTCCTGCAAGGCAACTCTGGGAGAGGATGGGCTGGGGCCCTGGCCCCTTCTGCCGGCAGACTGGCCTTTTCCTTGCACTTCAAGAGCGAGTCTCATCATGAAGTATCACTAATGGGAGGTGGAGCACAGGAGGAATGGGTGGGAGTCAGTGAGGAAGGCCCCTGCTGAATGGATGGACAGCAACTCCACCCTTGCCCGACCACAGTTCTGCAGCAGGATCGTGACACCAACATTAACTGGCTTTCTAACCGGTCCTCCAATTTATAATCTAGCTTTCAACATTTTCTCTCCAATTTTTAAAATGTCCCTTTCTTAAAACTTCTAAAGTAGGGGCAGTGCAACCCCTGCACATGCCTCCGGTGTGGCCCAGTGTCCATTAGGGAGCTGACGCAGCCCCTCCAGTGGCCCCAGGCTGTGGACACCAGCTTCGGGGAGGCCAGGAGCCGCAGGTGGGGACTGGATTTACATCAGTCTATCTTCTCTCACTTGTAATGTGAAGCATGAGTCATCACTGCTGTCACCAGCAAATATCAAACTCAAACCTCAGGGGGAAAGGAGGAGCAAACCATGCTGCCATCTCGGGGCCTGTCCCACATATGCTCCTGCCGGCCCCACCAACTTCCACTCACGAGACACATCCAGACTGCACAGAAGCGGACACCAAGCTGACTGTGCCTCATGCTTTCTGGAAACCCTTGCACAAAATGTAGAATCATATGCACCAACCAGACAGAATCCCAGGCAGAAGCCTGCATCCTAGAAGTCCCCAACACCTGGACGACCCTTCCTGTGTTTCAAACAACACTGTCACTCACTGCAGGCACCACAGGTGGGTCAGAGAAGACGCGATCCAGTGGGGGAAGTGTGGTGCTGGGCTGCTCCAGACCCACTACCCACCACTGACCCTGCCACCTCTGGCTGTGGTTTCCTCATTCGGAAACACAGGACAGCACCAACTGCCAAGGGTATCAACACAGACAACAATGAAGCAAAGAGCCACCCTGGCCACAAAGACACCTGGTGAAACTTGGCCAGCATGGCAGCACCTCACAGTGCACGCTCACCAGCACCTCGCTGCAGCCCGAGCCTCTGCTCTGGACGCTCTGGCCTGTGGCCCTGGCTAGGTCTCCTCTGCTGTGATGGGAGTGGCCAGCTTGTCCGGGACACCAGCAGCTGAGCTGTTGAGAGCATCACAGCCCACCGCTGTGATAATGACACCAAGTAAGACCTGGGACACGGTCAACGACAGCACTGCCACCATCGGCGCATTCATGGGGAGACAGGTACACACACACTCTGCACTAGGCTTTCCCTGCTCCAGAGATGCCTTACAATCAAATGCTGATCAGGTGACCCTTTCCCTATTCTGTGGCAGCTTTAAAGTGCTGCTGGTGCTGGAGTCCGTGCGGCCGTAAGGAAGGGGACCCAGCCACAGCCTAGCTGTCATCAGGGAAGAACCCTTCTCCTACAGCCTTCCTCCCAAAACTCTGCCTGCGTCCCACTCCCCAGTCCATGCCTGGTCCCTGTGCAGGATGCCGGGCCTCACCTGCACTCCGGGTGAGCGCTGCAGCGCGGCGGCCGGCTGTACCGTCGTCTGGGCCTGAGACACCTGCTTAATTATGGTCGTCGGGGTCACCTGCCGGGCAATAATAGGGGTCCCAGGTGCCTGGAAAACAAGCAAGACCCATCTAAAAGGGGCAACAGCGTGAGAATTCCCCGCCACCCTGTGCACCCAAAGCAATCCAGGCACAAGTGCGTCTGCAAGTTCACTCACAGTTTCAACAGAGCCACCTAACTCTAAATGTTTGCTTCCAAAGTAAAAGTGCAGGCCCCCATCTTTGCTACTACAGTGAAAATGCCTTAGACTTCTTTATCAAATCAGCACGGTCCTTGAAAAACACATGTATCTGGGAATCGGTCCCGTGAGGACTACTGTGATCTTGTCCACCAGTACTAAAGAGTGACCACGGCACTAAGAAATACTACGTGTCCCCGGGGTCTAAGAGAAAATCACACCTACCCCCGATGGGAAGCTGAGTCCTGAGCAAGGTAATTATGAAGCTGGTTTGAAAGGAGATGGACAGCAAATGCTGATGGTCACACGGTGACATGCACAACCAACAGCTAACATGAGACCACAGATACCGTACGTCTGCCTCACACTGAACAGAACAGACTGGGAAAGTGAGCTGTTCCACCCAGCGAAGGGCCTGCGGGTCTCCCAGCACACGCAGCAGCTGCTGCAGTGCAGGGTGCCGCCCAGGGTACAAGCTTGAGAAGGAAGACTCTCCACTTCAGTTACTAACCAGCTCACTACTGAGAACAGAGGAAGGCGCAGTGGACAGGAAAGCACCGCAGACAGAGGGAACGGGACAGTGCTGACATGTGCCCACATGGAAATCATGACACGGACAAGGAACCCAGATGGGGGCAAGCCCTGCATGTTCTTCAGCACCGGAGCCTGCCTCCCGCCACAGTCTCCAATGCCTGTGTGTGGGGAGGCAGCTCTGTTCAATACAAGTGTGTCAAGTCCTCTGGGCCTCCCGACGAGAAGGCCAGCACTCAATTTGCCTGCTCTGCCCACTAGCTTAGCACTGCACGTCTCTGCTCAGCCTGGGACCCAGCTCTGTGGTAGAAGCACTAGTACACGGTCCACTCTGCAGGAGAGGAAACTGAGGCATGGGAAGGTGCAGTCATGGAGAGAGGGCAGCTCTCAGGGAATCAGAGCCAGCTCTTCCCAGTAAGACTGTCCTGGACACCAGGGTCAGCCAGCCGGTGGTGGGGCAGGATGCCTGCCACAGGGCCCTTGGCAGGTGCAGGGTGTACGCATGACTCACCTGGACGGTGGAGATCTGGACAGGTGGGGCACTTGTGGGGGTTGCAGGGCGGGGTGCCATGGTGGTCTGAGGCTGGGCCTGGGCGTGGGCCTGGGCTTGCATCTGGGCCAAGGCCTGCTGAGGGATCATTAACAACTGCCCGTTCTCGCTGCGCACGAGGACCATACCTGGGGATAAAGGACATCTGGTGTCAGAGCCCGGGAAGCAGTGGCTCTATGGGGAGGCCTAGGGGCTCTGAGGAGAAAGGGGACCTGTGGTGACACATGGAGTCACCAGACTCTGATATGCCTGCTGCCTGCCAGATGGTGCACAGGAAAAGGACACGCACAGGGCAGTTTCATGGATTCAAAGAGCAACCGAATGACGCCCCGTCAGTGTATCTCTGTGGTAGAGTGTGGACCTATGAACCAGGAAGTAACAGTTCGATTCTCAGTCAGGGCACATGCCCAGGTTACGAGCTCAATCCCCAGTGTGGGGCATGCAGAAGGCAGCGAACAATGAATGATCCTCTCTCATTGCTCAAGTTTCTCTCTATCTCTCTCTCTCTCTCTCTCTCTCTCTTTCCCTCACCCTCTCTCCCTCTCCCTGTCCCTTCCTCTGAAATCAATTAAAACATGTATATATATTTTAAATTAAAAAAGGGCACCGAGCGTTCCTTCTGTGAGTAAATCAGGCACACGGTTCTGCTAGCCCCCCAATCGCCCCACAACCACCCCACACTGGTCTCAGCATGCACCCATTCCAGAGGAGGAAGCCACCGGGGACGCTGAGGGCCTGGCAGAGTCCCCACAGGCACACACTCTCCCCGACACAGATTGCCCAGTGCGCACGAGGCAGTGGTGTGGAAGTCTGGTCGGAGGTCCCGCTGGAGCCGCAGACCCCAGCTCTGGCAAGGACAGGTCCCTACGCACTGCCCCGCTGGTCCTGTGACCAGGGGCAGCTGGGACCTGTCCTATGGAACCCCAAACAAACTCCCCTCCAGCAATGGACCCCGCGGCACCCAGGCACCTCTCCTCTCTGGGTGTGGGCAGCATGGTGCCCACGGCTGACCAGGAGGGGGCCCCACAACACAGACGGACAGGGAGAACCACTCACACAGCACATGCTTGAGCTCCATCACTGGAAAGCAAATCCAATCATGCAGGCTTAGCATTAATTTTAGCTTCAAAAACCAGCAGCAATTCAGCACAGACGCCATCAGACACACAACACAAGTGTCTAAGTTCACATTCAATTCCATGAGAATCAACGAAGGAGCTTCGGAGGGGAATGGCGCTCTTCCTCTGGAGATGCCTCCGCACTCCGCTGGCCAAGCCCCATCCTCCCCTCGGGCACAGCTGAAAGGGCGCCCTTGGGAAAGGAACAGGCAAAGGCGTCCTGTGGGCATCACACCCTCCTGAGTCTGACCAGAGGCTGAGAAGAGCCTCTGAGGTGCTGGGCTCTGGCTCCTTCAACATCCATCAGGTCATCAAGAAACAACAGGCCTTTCCCTGGACTCACCTACAAGGCTTGATCCAAAGAAACACCTAGGGACTCTACCTGTGCACGAATTTCATGCACCAGGCCTCTAATTTAGATACTAGAGGCCCAGTACACGGGATTCATGCACTGTTGGGGGGCACGGCCTGCAGGGATCGGCCTCTGTGGGAGTAACACTCATCCCAGTCAGCTGAGCGCTGTGGACCCGCCCTCTGAGTGGCTGCTCCTACTGTGGAAGCGCCACTCATTCCAGTCAGCTGAGCAGCGCTCCCACTATGGGAGCGCACTAACCACCAGGGGCAGCCCCTGCATCGAGCATCTGCCCCCTGGTGGACAGTGCACATCATAGTGACCGGTCGACTGGTCGTTCTGGTCGTTCCGCCATTCGGTCGCCGGGCTGTTATTATATAGGATATCTGTGAGTGGATAAGTGAGAAAAATGACAAATGCCACTGGACATACAGGCAATGCAGGAGGCTCTAACAATTGCTCTAACCCAGTGGTCGGCAAACTCATTAGTCAATAGAGCCAAATATCCAAAAGTCCAACTGAGCCGAAACCGGTTTGGCTCAGTGGATAGAGCGTCGGCCTGCGGACTGAAGGGTCCCAGGTTCAATTCTAGTCAAGGGCATGTACCTTGGTTGCGGGCACATCCCCAGTAGGGGGTGTGCAAAAGGAGTTGATCGATGATTCTCTCTCATCGGATGTTTCTAACTCTCTACCCCTCTCTCTTCCTCTCTGTAAAAAAATCAATAAAATATATATATTTTTAAAAAGTACGATTGAAATTTTTTTTGAGAGCCACATTTTTTAAACTTAAACTTCTTCTAACACCACTTCTTCAAAATAGACACCCCCAAGCTGTGGTATTTTGTGGAAGAGCCACACTCAAGGGGCCAAAGAGCCGCATGTGGCTCGTGAGCCACAGTTTACCCACCACAGCTCTAACCTGACAGCAAACTTGTGGCTCCTCATGGGAAAAAAAAGTTTGTTTGCATTCATGGGTGGTAGGCCTGTAGGCTGTAATGGGGTGTGCTTTCCTCTGCCTTCCCTAGATACAATGAATCACAATCACAGGCAACAGTCACACACCCTGCGATGGCCTGGGGAGCATCTGAACACCAACAGCTGCATCAATGCACGTTTCAATGACATTATCACAGCTCGGGATCTTGTGAACTGATTATAGTCACTCATTCTAAACAGACACACAGCATACTAGTACAGTATCTATTCATGCAAAAGCAAAGAAACTCAACTTCCCCTCAAATGCAGCTGAAGAATGTTGGAGAAAAGGTTGAGAAGAAGCAATAGCGGAGTTCACAGACAGCCCCTGGCTGGGGACACGCATCGTCCTACTCATCAGGGAAGGCCCCCTGCAGCGATGGCCCACGCCCCCTTCCAGCTGGGGCCACCAAGGCCTCGGCAGAGCGATTTCCCCCAGAGTGCCCAGGGCAGAGGCTGGCACACCGCGTGCCTCCGGCTCCACACATACCCTCTGGGCTTCACTTCAACAATGACCAAGGGGGCCTGTGTATCACGAGCCGTGTTCTTCCAACCTTTACATTGGGAAGAAGGCCACACCTCACACAGTGAACAACTTCAACTTCAAAGGATCCTTCAGATTCACTTTCCCACCAATGTGGCCGCTCTGCTGGGTCAGTTCCCAAACAAAGGCAGTTAACAGGGATGTCGGAGTGTGGCCTGGGGCTCTGCTGCCTGATCAAACCACCCTCCGCCGCCACCCTCCCTCAGCCCACAGCAGCCTTCCTGGTCCCCCTCCTCTGTGCTCGGGCCACCTGAACCAGAGCAGCCCGTCTCCACAAGGAGTAGTCATGACGCACCCCGATCAAGCAGCATAAGACAACAGCGTTTCGTTTTGTTCACGACAGAAAACAAGCAATGAGGACTCAGAGCCGGCTGAAACCCCATGGCCTGTGGTTACTAGGGCTGCACACAGTTTCTTCCACTCTGTCCAGCGCCCACATTGCCGTGTGTGCTGTGATAGCCGCGAAGAAAACCAAGGTCATTTTGTTGATGTTCGTTTTTTTATTTTCTTCTTTTCACTTCTTTTTTTAAAACATATTTTTACTGATTTCAGAGAGGAAGGGAGGAGAGAAACATCAATGATGAGAGACAATCACTGATTGGCTGCCTCCTGCACACCCCATACTAGGGAGCAAGCCCACAACCAGGGCATGTGCTCCAACCAGGAATCAAACCATGACCTTCTGGTTCATAGGTCGACACTCAGCCCTGAACCAGACTGACTGGGCTTCTTTTCACTTCTTATATCATAAGTAATTCCATGTCATTCTACATTCTTCAAAAACAATTTTCAGTGGCTACAAATTTCACCCAAAATGTATTTCTAATGTTCTTCTTGATGAAAACAGTCTGGTTTCCTCTCTCGTTATCAGGAAGGCTCCAGTTTAAGGGTACATGTGCAGCATCACACCCTCCTCCCGAAGCCAGAGAGGCGACCCTGCAGGCCAAGACTGAGCAACGCGAGCTGCTCCCTGGTACAACGGGCCCTGCAACCACCTGTTTGGGAGGCCAGCGTGGCCCTACCAGGGTAGGGCGTGGCACCAGCAGAGCAGCGGGCAGACCAAGGCCACTAGGGCCACCCCGTCTTCACCCAAGCATGACCACTATGTCTTAAGGACTGAATGAACCCTCTCCTCCCTGACTCACTAGATTTCAAGGAACACTCAAGTGTTCTTACCCAGTGACAGCTTTCCTGATCCTTCTCATGCCAACGTTTTACTGTTTCCGGAATGAAAATCTAGGGCAGCCCAGCTGCACTGCACAGGGGCCAGGGACTTGCCTGGGCCTCCACCTGGAAGAATCCCACATCACGCACATCAGCATAAGCTTACCTGCCACAGCCCCTCACACACACTGTTCTCACACGTGGTTCAGTGGCTCCCCCAGTCCTGGGAAGGCACATCACTGGGAAAATGGCCCAGGTGTAATGACAGGAGCAGGGACCAGACCCCTGCACTCACTCTCATCCCCATGAAGGTCCCTAGGCTGCCGCCTGTCAGAGACTCTGCAGAGACAATGGCACGAAAGGCACGGGCTCTGCAGTTATACATGGCAGAGGGAGGCTGTTCCCCTGAACGCTGACGCTGGCTCCCAAGCAGCCAGGAGAGGGACTGGAGCAGAGAGCACGAGGCCCTGTCTGAAATGCACGGAGAATTTGTCCTGAGGCTGCCCCGCTGCCCAGGGGGGCTTTCGAAGATGTCGCTATGGGGACAGGAGGAGGAGCCTGGACAGAGCCAAGAGACCAGGACGGCCTCCCTCAGCCCACAAAATCCTTCCCTCCAGACTGTCCTCCAGGCTCTGTGCCTTCAGAACGGGATACAGTGCACTTGGCAAATACATTTCTGCACTGGTTTACCAAAACCCACTAACTTCACCTTTACAGCTCACACCGTGCCAGGCACACAGTGGTGAGCACACGTCACGTCACCCTGACCGGGAAGAGAGTGCCGGGCCCCTCCCTCAGTGACCCTGCCATGGTTTGTGACCAGTCTGCTCAGGCAGAAACCACAGCCCCCTGCGACTCACAGCGTCAGGCAGGGGGTGACTGGGCTGTCCAAGTGTGATGGCCACAACCTCCATGACGGCCAGGCCTTCCTACAGTGCGAGCCAGTGCTGCCACTGCTTCAGATGAGGCTCCAGA